CCATCAGCCACAGTGATGGTTCATTAAAGTCCAATTAATAAGTGAACTCCAGGATGAGAGCCCATCGCTTTGCTGTGAATAACAGCTCTGCTCATGTCTTAAGCTGCAGCCTCCCAAGAACTCAAAACCTACAAGGACCAACTGCATTGGGGGCTGGGAGAGGGCAGACATGGAATGGGAGTGATGTTGATGGGCTGTTGTCTGGTGAAGTGGGAGACCAGACACTCCCTGCCTCCATCTCTACTCCGGCCACATCTTCTTGCCTGGCAATCCCAGGGGAGCTTGGTCAAGGCCAGAGAACACTATGCCTTGGGCATGGAGAAAGGGAGGCTGGAGAGAGAACAAGGTTAAAGAGGACCACAAGCTTTGCTCTTCTCTCTGACTACCTCACCCATGCTTCCAACCCACAGACCTGGATCAGCCAGCCAGCCCCTCCCCAAGCCCATGAGCCAGCTCATGCCCCCTTCTCTCCATCTATTCAAGCCTTGCCTCTTCCAGGAAACATTCCCTTCCAGGTCCAGCAGACAAAGAGTCAGAAACACAAGAATCCAGCCTTAGCCCACCCTGCTTAGATAACCGTTCCTGTCTGGGACAACTTTCCCATCCTGTCCCTATTAGGTCGAGGAGCAGGGCTTTTTTTTTTTTTTTTTTTTTTTTTTTTTTTTTTTCTCCTGTGCCTTCCAGGATGGAGGTAGGCCTGTGGCCTGGGAGTCTGGCTGCCTTTTGGCCTGGAGGATGGAGGAGGCTGGACTTTCTGACTCAGAGGCCAGCATGAAGGGTACAGGTAGAGGGGAATTACCCTGCCTTTTTAGGACAGATTGATGCCCAGTCATGACATACCTGGCATCTGGCCTGGAGCAATCTTTTTTAAAAACATTTTTATTGATCTTTTTAGAAACAGGGAAAGGGAGGAGAGAGAGAAAGAGAGAGAGAGAGAGAGAGAGAGAGAGAGAGAGAGAGAGAGGGAGAGAGAGAGAGATAGAGAGAGAGAGAGAGAGAGAGAGAGAGAGAGAGAGAGAGAGAGAGAGAGAGAAACATTAATGTGTGAGAGAAACATCAATCAGTTGCCTCATACCTTGACAGGGGATTAAACCCACAACCCCAGGCATGTGCCCTGACCATGAATCAAACTAGTGACCTTTTGGTGCACAGTATGATGCTCAACCAACTGAGCCACCAAGCTAAGGCTGAAGTAGTATTAATCTGAACCTGTTTTCCTACCTCCAAGTTTCCTAGGTGAACAAGCAACAGGGCTATGGTGAACTAGGTCAAAAGGTCACAAAACCTCTCATTTTACCACGGCCTATTTAAAGGCTTTGCCTAGCAGGATCCTTCTCGGTCTGCCTTCCCTGGGAGCATCCTTCTGGTCTTTTAAGATTTAGGGGTCTGCCCAGTCAGGAACCCAGCAGCCAAACTTGGTGTCTGGGATTGGCATTTAGGAAAAGCCAGGTGGCCTGCATCCTGGGTTTCCAAAGTCCTGCCCTGGAGGAGGCCAGACCTTGACAGTTGTTCATGCTATGAGGCTTTGAGGAGTGTGAAAGACCAAGAGGACAGGCTGGGCGGGTGCTGGAAGGCAGCTTGAGGGCTGAAAGATGGGGATAGGGTCAGAGATCTGGTACCTTGTAGCACAAAAACCTCTCTGGAGCAGCGCGGGTGTGTGTGTGAGGGGGCGGGGGGGTGTCAAGTACAGTGGCACACAAGTTCCATCCCTGATTTGTGTACCTTGTCAGGTGGTCAGAGGTCTGAGGAGGGTGATGGTGGCTCCAGAGCCTATGCACCATCCATCAATGTCCTGTACTTTTCCACCGCTGACCTCTGCTCACAGCAGCAGCTCCTGGGAGCCAGACCACACATTTGCCTTAGTTATGACCTCACAAAAAGGCAGCAAAGTCCTTTGTCTTCCCTCTCACTGACAATTGGGCTTGGGCCTGGCCCCCACAGGGCCACGTGGCTAGAGTTTGTCAGACACATACATACCCCTCCAGCACTCAGCCAGGTGTGGGGGTTACATTTCCCAGCAGCTTTGGACCTAGGACTGCTGCACTGTGCCTCTGAACCCTCCCCACCATGGCTGGTTTAAGTCTGAGCCCCAGGACAGCGACATGGCCAACAGCAGCTCTCCCAGGCCCAGCTAGAGGCCAGGCCAGAGCTCTAGAGACAGAGAGGGAGGGCATCACCTTGCAGATGCTGTGTGGAAGCAGGTCTTGGAGAGGCCCCTGGGCTCTGAGATAACCGGAGACCTGACTCCCTCAGGGACCTAAGGGTCCTAGAACTTGGCCTCCCATGTGTCCAGCTGTAGGCACAGAATAAGGGCTGGGAGGAGGGCATGAGCTGGTCCCCTTCTCTACTTCTGTGTGGAATCAGAGGCCCGTCTAGTTTTTCATTTTCTAGAATAGCATCAAGACCTGGAGGAGTCAGCTGTGCCAGGAAAAGCCATTATCCTGACAGCCTCCCTCCACTTGCTAAAAGCTCTCTCCTTCCCCTGGGGCCTCACCCCCCCAAGACTTATTTCATCTCCATTCACCTAGCCCTGACCCACCTCTCTGGTGTGGAAGGAAGGAGAGGTGCTTGCTTAACTCTTTCTGTGCCTGAGTGAAGTCAGCTCCTTTGGCCTTGCTCATGGTCCTTCCTGTCTCTTTCCACCTACTATTCCTCCTGCCAGACACCCAGGAGCTTATATAGGGAAGGGAAGAGGACAAGAGGCCAAAGCTAACAGGAGGATGAAAGACAGCTGACAACATGGTCATGAGTTCTAACCTGGATCTGTCACTGCACTTCTTGTGACTTAAGGCCTTCACTCTCCCTTGGTTCTGTCTTCTTAGTGCACTGGGAGGCCCCCAGGGGGTAAAATAAAAACAAAACAAAACAAAACTGTGCATGGTGCAGGAGCTTTGAGGCTTTGAGTAGTGTTTAGGGTGTAGAAGGGCTGACTTCCTCCTTCCACAGCTTCCTGGAGTATCCCCTCCCTAAGTTTTTCCATGGAAGAGTGGAGGCGAGCATCATTCAGGCAATGCACAGAGCAGGTGGACAAGAGTGGGAAAGAGGCTGCTTTGAGTTTGAGGCCTCTGACTTTGAGGGCAGCTGTTAGGGGAGAGAAGCAGAACACAGAAGCAGGGTTATGATTGCACCCTTCAGTTAGCAGATGTCATAGAGCCTGAGGGAGGGACCTGAGGGTGGGGCAGGCTGAGCTCCAGGCCCTCCAACAGTGATGCCTTCTCCTCTCAAGCCCGACAGCCCCCTTGGCAGGGTGGGCCCTGAGTCTGAGGAGGGCTCCAGCTCTCTGGGAGACCCAGCCCTGCTCCCTTCAGCCCTCCATCAGAGCTCCCCCACTTCCCTCCATGTGGCCCTCAGTCAGGTCCCATTGAGAAACACCCAGGTTGTTAATACCACAAATTAGAGACTATCAGCCCTGGGCCTTCCTCTGCAGGAGCTTCCCACTTTCTCCCCAGCCCTTCCAAGTACCCTTCAGGGAAACTACTCAGAGAGGGTGTGTGACTGGGCCAGGAGATCAACTATGGGCTCAAAACCACCTCTATGTGGCTGAAAGCCTCTACTCTTTCTAAGACTTCAGCCAAAAACCTCACTTGTAGACAATGGGAGACACCAGGTCAGAGACAATTAAAATTATTATTTTTTAACACCTTATGGTATTTAACAATGTGGCAGGCACTTTACACATATTTCACTTCATTCACACAACTACCCTGCATTTTTCATCCCCATTCACATGAAAGAAAGAAGACACAGCAAGATTACATACCTGGACCAAAGTCAGACTAGTAGAGTATAGAGCTGGGATTTGGAACCCTGAGAGTCTGAATCAGGGACCCTATTTAGGACCCATACAGCCCCTCAGTCAAAGCAGAAGGGAAGCTTGGAGATGGGGCTCCCACAAGATTGCTCATCCGCAGGAGCCGGGTTGTGACAAGGAGAGAACAGGGAGTCAGGCTATTGTATCACTCGAGTCCAGAGGATGGAGGGAGCAGTGAGGGCCAAGGGGCCAGCGTGCTTTCTGGAGGAAAGGAACAAGCTGGGCTGGGAAGGGCCACAGGTGGTGCTGCTAACACCTGGGGCAGATTGACTCCCATGCCCCAAGCTCCCTTTGGGGACTTCTGGGAGTGGGGCCAAGACTGGTGAGGACACCAGCTCTGCTCTCTGCCATGCGGTGCTGTTTGTGCACCCAAGTGTGTGGTAAGGCTCCCCCTGCCACTGACTCTCCAATGACCCCTTACCTGTGACTGCCACACCATTACAGCTCGACATAAAAACCTCCTCAGCAGAACACATATTAACTCTCTCACTGAGCTGTTTGATGGCTCTGGATCTCAGGGATTCTTGTCCCAGGGACCTGTGAGATGCACTGGGATGCAGGGGGCCCAAGCTCCAGCTTACCTTGGACAGCCTCGCATTGGGCCACCTGTGAGTGCTTGAGGGCCAGAAACTCTCCACCCCACCCTGCCCCATGCCCAGGGCCCAGTACACAGTGGGTGCTGCAGAAGGCATGTGTGTGCTCCATTGGAAGATTTCAGAGCTGGGGGAGCTGGACCAGAAGCTTAGGGAAGTGAAGGGCAGCCAGGCAGTACCACACAGCCACCCTGCCCGAAGGCTTCCTCCCACCAAACAGAGCCTAGAGAAGATGGTCAAGATGATAATGGAGTCTGTGTACACAAGCGCCTCCTGGGGAGCCCTGGACTGGCAGAGGCGGGAAAACAGACAGGCAAGGTGTCCCCCCAATTCCCACCCCATTCTGAGCTCTGGTGCATTCGTCCATGTGAAGCCTCAGGGGTGGCCAGCGAGACAGTGTGGTCACCGGAGCAGGCAGGGCAGCAGAAGACAAACCTGGCTCCCCCTGGGCCTGAGATGACATGAGTGTCTGCCTGGGAAAGAGATCTTCCTGCCCTGTCCACTCCTTGCTCAGATTTATGGAGTGTGCAGTCAGGATGGGTGATGAACAGGCAGGGCACTCTCCCTCTCACTCAGCCTACCCCTTCCCTCCCCAGGAAAACCACGTCTGAGGAAGCAAAGAACCAAAACTCCAAAGCAGTCACATCTGTGACCTCAGTGCCTACCAAAGCCCCCATCTGGGGTGACACAGTCACAGTGGAGATCCAAGCTGAGGATGTGGGACAAGAAGGTAAGATAGGGGGCTGGGTGGGGCCCTGTGTGTGTGGGAGGGGGTAGTAACTCCCTCTCAACTGGACTGGAAGCCACCTGAATGCCTCCTTGGGGGCTCAGTTAAAACCACTTTAAACAAGAAAATTATAATACTGTCATTCCTCATCTACCTAGCCTACTGGGAAAATGAGTTATCCTACATAACGAATTTTCTAGATGATGGAAGCTTATCTTTTTTATGACCATTGTTGTTATTTCCATGGTAGTTATTGCTGCATTTCCCACTGGCACAGCACATCACAGTTTCCTGGCACACCCCAAGTATCTCTTAGAGGAGTGGCACATGAGAGGAACAATGCTGCTCCCACTGCTTAGATGAGAACACTGAGGTTCAAGGAACTTAAGTAACTGGCTCAAACTCAAGTCACCAGTAAGTGGAGAATGGAGGGACTCAGCATCCATGTGCTCACTGTAGGTCCAGTATTTTAGCTGTTTTCCTACACGGCTTCTTATCCTGCCTGGTCCTGCCCAGCACTGTCTACAGTAGTGTTCCTGTGCTTCCAAGGGTATCTGCTCTCAGAAACTGCCTGACATTCCTCACTCCTCCACCCCAGAAACCTTTCCAGTCCCATGTCCTGACAAATTTGAACACTGCAGGCAATTTGAGGTACAAATGTGTGTTTATACTTATGCTTTCTCCTTTGAAAGCCTGAGCAGGTGAGAGCTCTAGTCTCTAGTCTTATCTAGTATTTAGTCAGAAGAACTTCAGGCTCCCATCTCATAGGTGGTCCTTCTCTCAAGTGACAGGCTTTCCTTCCTCCTTGAAACCTCACCACTCCCCACAAAGAGCAGAAAACCAGTTGTGAAGACAATGAATGGGGAGAGAGAAAAAAGATTGAGGAGGGACATAAATAAAAAAGAAAGAGGCTAGTCTTGGGTCAAGCCAGAGGATTGTTTTCCACCATAAAGGGATAGGTGGGGCTATTGGGATGATATGAAAAAAATGTGAAAGAGGAAAAAATTGACCTAGGACTTCATACAAATGCAGGTGTGTACCTATCTTTGTGAATGTCTGCATGCTGGTTCATGTGTATGTATGAACATCATGTTTGTTCAAAATGTGCTTGTGACTGTGCCTGTAGGCATGTGTGTCTGTGTGTGCAGAGTGTGTGTATGTGTATGTGTAGTTGTGTGTGTGTGTGTGTGTGTGTGTGTGTGTGTGCCTGCATCTGTGTGACTGTGGCAAGTGAATCTGGACTGGGATCCCACCTGGGCTCTATGCAAGAAAGCATGTGATGGGTGGCCTCAAGCCTATCTGTGCAGCAGAAAGTGAAGCAGGGTTCACTGTAGGAGGGACAGGGGGGTGGGCCTGCCCCCACAGGCAGGGAATATTGGCAGACACCTCTTTTCATATTGAAGTAGCTGGATGCTGGTTGGAAATGATTGCTGTGGTGATGTCTACAGTGGGAGGGTAGAACCAGCCAAGAGGTGGAGGAAGGGTGGGAGGTAACTCAGTGATGTGCTAATGAAAAGCAAAAAAAGGCGGGGGGGGGGGGGAGTGGGGGGGGGTTGCGGGGAGAGCACAGTTTCAGACCCTGTGTCAGGGCCAAAGCAGGCTGGCAGTAGAAATAGCTCACTGGCCTCATGAGAGCTGTTGAAGCATGTTTGTAGCATAGGGACAGGAACAGGGAGGTATGACTGTCAACTCACCCCAATTCCAGCTTATCTTCTGGCTGCCCACCCAGAGATTAGGGTTGGGGAGGGGGGAGATAGGGCACTCACCCCTTGCTTGACCTCAGCAAATTCCAACTGGATATGGGGGCTTAGAGCCCATGGGTAATGGCCATGCGGAGCTGCAGCCTCCACAGCTACTATTGTAGCTGGAATCCCCCAGCCTAGTCTTCTCAATCTGCTCAGGCTGAGTGAATGTATGGAGCGCTACAGAGGGTTAACGAGGAGGAAAGTAATGGTAGCTACAAGGAGCACTTGCTTAGAATTTTATAGCTTGAAAAACACATTCTCCTCCCTATAACAAGATTAGGAGAGGGACAGCGTTTTTCTTTTTATAGTTTTAACATTTTGCAGAGCAGGAACATGAAGCTCAGAGAGGTTAAGTGACTGGCTAAATGTCACAGAGCAAGTTTGTATATTGGTACTAGGACCCAGACTTGCTTACTTCAACTCCCTTGTTTTATTCTAGTTTCTTCAAGGCAACCTCAAATCCTTTTAGTGCACAGTTTCCCCCTTCCCTTTGAGTGTGAATCCCATGTGGCTAGCTTTGAGGGAATGTGGCAAGTGTCTTTCCCTCTCTATGTGTCCAGGGTAGCTTTGGGAAGAAAGAGAGTGAAAGTAACCAGTAAAGCTTTCAGCTTCCACCTCCACTCCCTAATCCAAAGGACTCACCCTGCTTCCAGTCTGCCTAGCGCACAGAATAGGTACCTGTTCCTGGTTCTGAAATGTCAGAGGCTAAGAGAGTTATACAAGAGTACAGTTGTCCACTTCAAGCCTCTCTCCCATTATTCTCTAGATCTCTCTTTTAACTCCTTTCCTCCTCCATCTCCCTCAATGCTTCTCACTCCTTTATACACCCTTCTACTCCTTTCCTATCTCCACAGCTCTCATCCTCTTCAAATCATAGACTTCCAGAGTAGAAAATGTCTCGCCAAATTCAGCCTCTTCCATCAGCCTTTTACTAGCTGTGTGATATTGATCAAGTCATATAACCTCTCTGAGATCCAGTGGCCATGTTTAAAAAAACAAATAGTTATTCCTTGTTACTTAAGAGTGAGGATTTGTTGGAATAGGCTCAGGACCACCCATCCCCATGCCTGGCACACAGTAGGTACTCACTAAGAAGTACTGCTATGACTATTCCAAGGTCATTGGTGATCTCCTTGAATTTTATCCAAAGTTTATGCATTTTTATGGCAAAATATAGTGTCTTTAGGGGGAGTTTTCTAAAAGCATCATTCTTAGTGTTTAGTTTTCAGGTAGTTGGAATAGACTTTTACTGACAGTTGTATTGAAGATTTCTTGAGCAGATTTCTTTTCCCCATTTGCAAAATGTGAGAGATAATCCCTGCCTGAGGAACAGGTGAGAGTGTTTGTGACCAAGGGGAGGAGCCTTATTCCTGGAAAGGGGTACTATTCTTACTTGCTTGTGTGTCTCTGAGCATACACATGTATATCTCTGCCATGGGGGCTGGGCTCATTTCTGCATGTGTCCATCCCTGAGCTGGAAGTTTCTAGACCAACTAGATGAGAATGGCATCTTTGGGTTCTAGCAGTGCTTAGCATAGAGCCTTATCCTGTGCGGGGCTCAGGCAGTGCTTGTGATGTGTGCATGCGTGCCTGTGTGTGGATTCCTCAGTGTAGCCCCTGCTCCCTACTCTCAGCAATGTCTCTCAACTCAGAGGGAGGGATAGTGGTCAGCTAAGCCTGATCCTAACTCTGTGCTCTATTTTTCTCTTTCCAGATGTGGTCCTTAAAGTGGTGGACAACAACAAAAAAGAGGAGCTGCTGTCCTATCAAATCCCCATCAAGTACTTGCGTGTCTTCCACCCCTACCACTTTGACCTGGTGAAGGTGAGTCAGAGCCCTTCACTCTGGCCCACATGGGCCTGGGACAGGTAGGGGGGTGCCCCCAGCTATTCTCTCATAGTGGCTCTAGGCATCCATGCCCACCCTGCAGTAAGACCAGTCTAGGACCTTGTGGGGCTCAGGAAACACAGCTCCTGGCAAATAGACAGGAATGTTATCCATAAAAAAATTGGAATTCTCCAAATTGATCTTCATAAAACATCCTAAATGGCATAGAATATCTACCACATTAAATGAATATACCAACTGAAAATGCACTCTGATTTCATATATGTTGAAAGAGAACGAGTATATCTAAAAATAAATTTCATACAGTATTTGCAAAGCACCTGCTATGTTCCAGGTCCTGGGTTATATGGTATACACATCTCTAATTCTCAAGATGAATTCTACTTTGCATATATAGGACTGAGACTCAGGAGAGAGAATCCTTTTATCCTGGATCACAGAGCAAGTGAAGTGCAGAGTCAAGTGTGAATCCAGGTGACACCATCTCCCAACCAATTCACTCAGTGCTGCCTCCACATGCTACCTTGGCAGGAGGAAGCCTGAAGAGAGCTGTAGTATATGGGAGATAAGGTGTTCCCTGGAATGCACCCATCTAGTGGGCCTCGGGCCACTCATTTTATTCTGAGCATCCTAGGCCAGCTCCCCTGCCTACCCCCTCTTCCCAGAGCTGATTGCTGGAAAGGAGAATTTCCTCTCTCATTGCTCAAGTACTTTATTAAGCACCTACTGTGTGCCAGGCACTGGGCCAACGAAAAGCAGAAGCATCATTTCTCTCTCTTCCACTGTGCACTCCAGTTCCCTACAGTGGTTCAGAGTAAAGAACAATGTGAAATTGAATTGTTGGGTTCCTCTTTCAGGTCTTCTGCTTGCTAGCTATATATACATAGGAAGCTGCTTAACCCCCTGGGTCTCCATTTCTCATCAACAAAATTAAGATAATATGCCTCCTAACATGGCCTTTTGGAGAATCAAATACAGCACATAGTAGGTGCTCAGTTCAGGCTAGTTCCCTTCCTGCCTCCGTTTCCCAGGCACTGGTACTGACCTCCTTTTCAAATGACTCCTCAACCATAATTTTAGGGGACTGCATGCTCCCTATGCCTCAAGGAGAACCACACACTCAGGACCTCGAATGAGGCAAGGAAGCAAAGCCCAAAGAGATTAGTGACTCATGTGGGAGACTCAGTACTAAAGCTATAGTTCTGGGAGCATCACCCAGGCCTCCTGGCTCTCTATCCAAGCCTAGTTATCACATCTTTACAAAGACAGCTGGCAGGCATGGTCCTTGTGAGGGCAATGAAATATTCAAATAGACAAGGGAAGATTTATTATATTGATCTCCTTGGAAGGGCTCACAGGGAGCCTTTAATTATCAGCGGGGTGCCCCGGTGGAGCAATGCAAATGCTTGTCTGCAGAGGGCTGGATTTATGGCCAGGGTCTGCTTCTCAGTCAAGCTTCTTCTTGTGTGTCTTCTTCCCTCACTCTATTCCCAGCCCACAGAGATTGGGAAAGCCACTGCCAAGACCCAACTGTACGCAACTGTTGTCCGGAAGGGCAGCTTCATCCCCCGCCAAGCTGACTGTGACCACAGAGCTCTGGAGGTGCCAGCCTGGGGCCCTTGGGGGCGGGGCAGAAAGGGTCAAATTTTGATGATGTGAAGCAGAGGTGTCTGGGTAAGACTGGGACTTTCAAAGTAGCAGAAGTGGTTTGTGAAGAATAACCTTGGGATGGCAGAGATTATGGAGATGGAGATGAAGATGAAAGATGCCTAACATTATCCAGCACTTTCCAGGCATACAGCCCTGACCGAACCTTGTCTTCCCTCGCTCTGCTTCTCACACACCATGCAGGGAGGGCTACAGGGAGGACAGAGGCTTCCAAAGTGCAATGTCTGAATCTCATGGGAGCAGGAAAAGCCCCCACCTTGGCTCATATCTCCTGGTTATTTCTCTACTGTTCTGTCCCTCCCAAAGTAGTGACTCCTGACAAAGGGCCTACTTCCCCCAAGTGAAAGTTTTGGGGCCACCCTATATTTCCTTGAATCCTATTTCTGAAGAGCTTTGGCTGGTCTTCTAAATAGGCATTCATTCATTCATTCAATAATTATTTATAGAGCCTTCCATTAGCCAGGCCAGGCGCAGGCCCTCTTCCACACATACCCACCACCATTGTTTTCTATACTAAGCCTTTCACTGCTTTAGGAGGATTATCGATGCTCCAGGAGGATATAGGCCAAATACCTAAACCCCTCTCCTTTTTCTCTCAGTCTTCAAACTGCCCACTAGTGACAGATTCAAATCCAGCCATTACCTGAATCTGATCAGGATGGAGGCAGGGTGGCCCAAACTTCAGGCTTCCCCTGCCCCTGCCCCTGCCCCTTTCCCTTATCCACCCCATGACAGAGCAATAAGTGTTCTTCAATCCCATTTCACAGTTGAGGCCATGGAACCTCAAGAGCAGTCTGATATGGGAGCATAGATCTCCTGGCCTACACATCTGCTTCCCCATAGCCACTTCATGGATGCCAGCATGTATCAGACCTGTAGGCAGCTTCTGAACCCCTCACCCTCTTCAATCATGCCCTTTCCTGCACAAAGAACACCTTGACCTGCAGGAGCTCACTATGGATCAGCCATCCCATGTAGAGTCTGGGCTCCTCTGCCCTTCAGTGCCCTCCCCTGCCCCAGAATAGATGTCTTCCCTATAGGCTCCCGGGGGCAGACCAGAAAGGACAGTGGGAGAAGAAATTGCTCCTATTCCTTACAGGGCTGTCATGAGCAGGTGTGCTTGGGCACCTGAATCATTCAACACTGACCATTCAGCCCAGAACAGTGATAAATTAGTTCCCCCCTTCATCTTTCAGACCCCCCTCTTAGCCCTTACACCTGTTGGAGTCCCTGTGTAAGCAATAGAGCTTGACAGCATTCCAGCAAAATCCCCCAGGCCCAGACTCCCACCCCCATCCCAAGTTTGAAATGCCAAAATTAGAGATTTCATCATTTGAATTTGAAGAAGGGATTCAGTCTTCAGAGGCCCCCAAAGCTGACAGTCTGTAAGCACTACTTTAAATCCTTATCAGCTCACAGCTGGCAGACAGCTGAGATGGGTCAGGAAGGTCCCAACCAAGGGGCTTAGGAGAGAGAGCTGAGGGTGGAGGGGAGGAAGGGGAGCCACCTCATGGATGCTAGCATGTGTCCAGAATAAGTCCCTACTCCTAGGCACTCTCCTCCCTTTGAAGATCAGAACTAAAAGGACCAGGGAAATTATGGTCAACCCCTCAGTGTACAAGTTAGGACATTAAGGCCCAGAGTGGAGCAGGGACTGGCCACAGTGACTTAATGGCCCAGACTTAGTAAATGGCTGAGCTAGAGTAGACCTATAGCAAGGATCCCCCCCAAACTCCAAGACTAGCTCAACCCAGCCCTCTCCCTGAGGCCACTGCTATCTTCCTCCTCCTCCTTCCCCTCCCAAGTCTCTATGGTTGTTTCTCTCACCCTCATAAGAACAGTCAGCTTCTTCCTGCCCTTGCCCCCCTTTCCTACTCATTGATGGCATTCATTTATCCCACAAACACACATGGGGCTTCTACTCTGAGCCAGGTGCTTTTGCTAAAAGCTGGAAATACAGCAGTGAATGAGGTAGATAAGTCCCTGCCCCTGTGGAGCCTGGGGGGCTAGCAGGAGCTGTGGGCCAAGGGGCAGACAGGCCAGTTTGTGCAGGCCTTGACTATCATGGTAAAAATTATGGCATTTATTCTAAGTGTAGTGGGGGGAAGGGTGGTCACTGCTAAATCTCAAGCAGAGGAATTACATAATCTAATTTCTTTTTAAGACAGCAATTTTGCCACCATGTATCAAATTGCCTGGGAAGGGGAATGGGTTAGGGACAAGAGCAGAGGCCAGTGAGGTGTCAGAGAAGTAAAAGGAGCCACAGGAATCTCAGCTGGGGGGCCAAGGATTGAGGGCCCAGATCCAGATCAGGAGCTGCCTGGGATGGCAGTGGAGGTATGTGGGACAGAATCCGTGTCTTCTCTTGCTGCCCACCCAATGCCTGGCACAGGGCCTGAAGGACAGCAGCCTTGAGCAAAGACCCTAGAGAGGCAGGAGCAGGTGCAGAGGTATGGTGGCAGAAATGAGCCCATATTTGGAAAGAAAGATGGCAGGCAGGCTAGCTAACCATGCTCCGGAGAGAGCTAAAGGCCACCTGGGTTCACTTGCCTCCTTTCTTCCCCAGGTCTTTCTTCGGGGAATAAATGAACCCCTAGTCAACAACCCCAGTCCCATGGTGGTCATTGCCCGGGTGGTTCCCAACTACATGGAGTTTAAGTGAGTAAGGCCCAAGTGGTGTGAGCAAGGAGGGAGGGGGGCAGAATACAGAGGAGAGGGATGGCTAGAACCCTGCTCTCCCCACAAGGCCCTTCTAGCCTCCCCACTGGGACTGAGGACCCAGGAGCTACCCACAGCCCGTGGAGAGGGGCAGCTCAGACCCCTCCTGAGAGCAGGCTGAGGGGGGTCAGCATACTATGAAGAAAGGGGGTCCTCAACCTCTTCATCTTATACCCACCACTCAAGTGGTGGTTGTTCCCAAAGGAGGCAGCCTAAGTGTCATCTCAGAACTTCATGACCTTTAGCTTTGCCCAAGAGTCCCCTTCCTTGCCCTCCATGAGGTCTCCCTGGCCACAGCCCCAGCTCACTCCCCTGCCCCCAGACCTCTTTTTAGGTATGAGCATCACAGTCCTCAGGAGGGGATTCAGTCTAGATTGGCCACTGGAGACACACAATGCAGAGAGTTCCCCAGGGAACATGTGCCCTCTGTGACAGCACCATCTCCGGAGCTGTCTGCCTCTGCATTTCTGCTGACTGATGGTCTGGGAAGATTCCCTGACTCGTCTGCTCCATCTGTTGAGTTCTGACAAATTATGAGCCCTCCTTGTGGATTGGAGAAATGAAGATGCCCTCACTCCCAGACCTCCTGTGAGCTCACACACACACACACACACACACACACACACACACCCTGAATCCCACCCCTGAGCCTCCATGCCACCCAAGCCTAAACCAGAATGCCACCATGGGGTTGGGCCATTCTCACAAGGTCTTCCAAAGGTGAGGCAGGGATGCCAGACCCATTTTAAAGATGGGCAGCTGGGGCATTCGGATGTGGCCAAGGCCATGGTGCATCATGGAGAAGGAAACCTGGGAGCTGCATCCCATCCCCTGACCAAGATGCGCTTTTCCAAGGCCCTTACTAGTGATCAGAAGGACCAGGACCATTACCTGTCCTAGGTGGGCCACTGCACTTTCCTCTCACATCAACCCTGAGTCCACTTGGAGGCCCTTGCCTGCCATACAGGGTCAAGAGTGCTGGACACAGGGCCTGAAGGACAGCACCCTTGAGCAGTGCTTGACTCCTGTCTCCTTGCCTCCCCAGGGTCAGTCAGATAAACCAGGATCCAGCCTCCCTGGGGTTGCCCTTCACCCCACTCTCCTTCCCCATTCCATCTGTGATGAACTTCGATGTTCCTCAAGTCAGCCAGAACGGGTGCCCTCAGGTATGGCTTCTTCCCTACTTCACTTCTCACTGGTCCAGTCCTCTAGTAACTCACCCACACAATCATCCAAGCTGTTCACTTGACTATGGATATCACCAAATTTGCCATGTGCCTAGGGCTGTGCCGTCTGTGTGCAGAGAAGCGGCCACAGGGAGCTCTTGGTCTGGTGAAAAGAGTAAACATCAACACCAGATAATGGGTAATCTAATAACAAACCAGGAGAGGCTGCCAGAGCTGTAAAGATCAGAGGAGAGAAGACAGAGAAAAGACAAATGTTGTGATTCCACTTAAATGTGGTATCTAAAGAGGCAAATTCAGAGACGGAAAGTAGAATGGTAGTTGCCAGGGACTGGGGCCAGGGAGAATGGGGAAGTTAGTTTTTAATGGTTTAGAATTTCTGTTTGGGATGTTGGGAAAGTTCTAAAAGTAGGTAGTGGCTAAAGTGGTAAGTTTTTGTTGTGTGTATTTCACCACAATAACAATTTGCTTTAATTAGAGGTGAGAGGGATATGAAGCCTGGGCATCCAGCTGCAAGACTTGAGTTTTTAGTGAGGAGTGTTTAGCAGGGCAGGTGGAACAAGAACACAGGTGTGCAGGAGGGGTGCATGTCTGGGTTGGAGAGGAGGCCAGTGTGTCTGAGTGTACTGGGGAGAGGTGTGCAGAGAGTGTCTGAGTCCAGGCAAATTCCCATCTTTTCCATGGTCTGCATTTCAGCAGGAGCTTGCCCCACATGATGTTCCCAACATTCTAGGGGCCTTAAAGAAGACAGCGTGCTTGGGAAGTTCTTCCTGTTGTCTGTCCACCAATGTTCATGGCAAATATAAAATGAGGCATTCTTTCAGAGTCACAATCTTCATTTAAAGGCAAAGACATTTGAAGAAGGTTTGGATGGACATGGACAAGAGTGATGGTGTTAGGAAGGGGTGGAACAAAGGGGGACCCTAGGGACAAAGGCTTCAAACCCGAGCCAATCCTTAGCCTGATTTCCCCAGAGTCATCTCGCACATGGACCTGCATTTGTTCAGAAAATTATAAACTAATCAGCAGGCAGTCCCAAGGGTCAGGAGGCACTGGCTGCTTTAATGAGTGAACCTCTCCCCACCCCCCGCCCTTCTCTGGCTGCTTTTGCTGCCTGGCTAGTCTGGGTGGCAGAGGTATCCTTTAATACAGAAACTTGCCGCAGTGCCTCTTGCATGTGTGGGACTCAAGGCCAGAGGTCCAGCAATGGCACCTTGTGGAAGGTCACCCAGTACTATAGCAGTTGGGCCAGGTTGAGAGCTTACTGGCATCCAGCACAGAGGTGCCCAGGTGCCAGGAGTGAGAGATGAGCTTCTATGGTAAAGTGAGATTAGGGGGTTAGTGGGCAGAGTCCCACCTGGAAGGAACACCAGTCAGCAATCCTGGGCTCAGAACTCACACAGACCTGCTGTGTCCCCACTCTGAGTTTCAGTTCCCTCTTCTCTCCAGTTGGGCAGGGGGCAATGGGGGAGGAGGGGACGGCGCAGGAACCCTAGCATCTGCCTCTCTGACAGGGGTTTGAGACTGGACCCACCTCTGTGACTTACTGAGTGACCTTTAGCAAGCTGCTCAATTTCTCTAGACCTACTGATTATTATCTTATTGGACTGTTAGGAAAACATAGAGGACTAACCTGTGCAAAGTGCCCAAGCCTGGGGTGAAGGTTAAATGGGCTCCATCCTTTTCATAGATGCCCCTCCCTTGATGCCAAATGCCCCCTTTGAGGCCCGCCTGGACATTGCCCTTGTCATGTTTGGCTACAAGTAGCAGGAACCCCAACTCACATGGAGTTAAGTTCTAAGGAAATTTAATGTCATACATTAAAAGGGTACCCCATGTAGGATGCTGCTAGAATTGGTTGACCTACTGGCTCAGCAGTATCCTCGGGGACTCAGGATCTTTCCAACACCCCTGAAATGCCATCCTCAGCTGGACAACTCATGGAGGCAAAATGTCTCAGCCTCCCATCTAGACATGACCAAGAATAGAGAAAACGGTTTTAATGAGGAACTTGAAACCTCCCCTGCAAACCCCTCCCCTACAGACCACCCCTCTCATCTCATTGGCCAGAACTAGGTCACATGCATTTCTCTCAGCCAATCCTGAGGGGGAGCATGGCATCACCTTGCAGTCGCTAATGCAGGAGAAGGGGGCATACTGGCCCAAAGTGGGTTCTGTTGGCTAGGAGGGAGGAGAGGAATGGTTGAGAGGTAGATGTCTGTTCACGCCTTTCAGAGCCTGGCAATGATGGTAAAATCTGAGCTCTGATGAGTCTGCCGGACCCAGCACAAGTCTGAGACTTAGGACTTGCTCCTACCCTCCTCCCAGAACTTTGAGGGGGAACATTGCCCAACAGGCTGCTCCTATTGGCCTGGCTTGCTACAGAGCTGAGGCGGAGCTCCTGGCCAATGAAACAAAAGCAGTGGTGAGAGAAACTGTCTGCACCCAGCATCATCTCCTGTCTCAGCCTCCGAAGCCGGTCTGTACCCAACCTCTCATGGGGCCTCTTATCATCCCACAGATCCTACCCTAGAGCTGGCCATGCCTCCACTCATGGCCAGGCCTCTCCCATCCATCTTGTCAGAAGCAGCCACAATGACCTCCTGCCCAGGACTAGTCCCTTCCACTGGACCTCTTGTCCTTCTCACCCATAAGACAAAGCCCTCACTGTCAGCCACATACACAGGCCTCACTTTCTCTAGTCTCCTGGCTCACTGCTCCAATTCTCAGAAGCATTCTCTAGTTCCAATGGGTAACTGGCTGTTCTCCACACCTGTATCGTCTCCTCTCACCTCTCAGTCTTCACCTCTACTGCACTCTGAGCCTGCATGGTCTTCCTCCTCATTACCAACTACGTGATCTTCCCCAGGTCAGAAATCATTGCTTTTTCTTCCGACACCCTAGCTTCCACAACCTGCAATTTGCTTAAGCCTCTGCATGAATCATGAATGGGTCGGGGGGGGGGGGGGGGGGGTTATCCCCTTGGAAGATGATGAACACTAGAAGAAGCAGGCTCTGGCTATAGCTCCCCCGAATGCCCTTTAGCACCCCAGAGGCATCAAGCATGGAGAAGCCACCAGTCAATGTTTGCTGAGTACAATTAATTGACTTTCACCTTCACAGCAAAATATCTATTATCTCCTTCAATCTTCACAACAGCACATCAGGACAAGAAGCAGAAAACATTGGAGGGTGACAAATCTGACTACAGAGAGGGAAAGAGACTTGCCAAAGGCTACACAGCAACGTTGAGATAGATCCCAGTCTCTTGGCATCATAGCTCCCTTGAGGTCCCACACTGCATCAGCTGTTGGCAGCTAATCTTCCCAGCATGGCTGTCACAAGCTTGAGCACAACCGGCAGCAGTGTGTGTGGTACGGGTATGGAGTGGGTGTAGGTGTGGGTGTGGGTGTGGGTATGGGTGTGGGTGTGGAGTGGATGTGGGTGTGGGTGTGGAGTGGGTGTGGGGGTGGGTGTGGGTGTGATGTGGGGGTGGGTGTGGGGGTGGGTGTGGGTGTAGGTGTGGGTGTGAGTGTGGGTGTGAGTGTGAGTGTGGTGTGGGTGTGAGTGTGGTGTGGGTGTGGGTGTGGGTGTGAGTATGGGTGTGAGTATGGATGTGGTGTGTAGGTGTGGGTGTGATGTGTGTGTGTGTGTGGGTGTGTGTGTGGGTGTGTGTGTGTGGGTATGGGTGTGGGTGTGGGTGTGGGTGTGATGTGGGTGTGGCTGTGGGTGTGTGTGTGGGTGTGATGTGGGTGTGGATGTGATGTGGGTGTGTGTGGGTGTGGGTGTGGGTGTGATGTGGGTGTGGCTGTGGTTGTGGGATTGGGTGTGATGTGGGTGTGGGTGTGGGTGTGATGTGGGTGTGGGTGTGATGTGGGTGTGATGTGGGTGTGGGTGTGATGTGGGTGTGATGTGGGTGTGGCTGTGGTTGTGGCCAACCTTGATTCCTTTCCCCTGCCCACTACACATACAGGAGAGGCACACACACTCAATTCTCAGTCTGAAGGGATCTTTTGTTGGGAACCCAATGAGTCCCCTTTTCTGGGAGGAGCTGTCCATGCTGGGCAGACAGACACCATTTCCGGCTTTGTGGACCTCATTTGACACGTAACCAGACCACAGAGAGGGCAGCCAGCATCCATTCAATACCCCTCTCCCAGGGTGGAGGCAAGGGATAGGGCAGCGGGGGGCTGAGTCACAGGTCCTTGAGTGCCCAATGCCTGGCAGGTGGTCCAGGCTATTGAATGCCCTCTGGCACCCAGGAGAATGGCGGGGGGAGAGGGGGGGCGGGAAGCCTTTGGGACGGCATGGTTTGGCAATCAATCCTAAAAGATAACTTCCAAGAGCCACTGAACCTAGAAGCAGTTTCTCTAACTGACCTCATGGCCAAGCAGCTGTCTGGGCACTGTACCATCACCTGCTTGCAGGAACACTGCCGTCACCTCGGCCACTGCCTGTGTTCAGGCCCCTCCCCAGGGGAGGGACTGGGCAGACACAGCTGAGCCTCCAGCTGAGCCTCAGACTGGGGCAGGCACATTACTGTGACAGGCATTAGGGTCCTGCCACCGCCGGGGGAGCAGACCCACTGATGTTTTGCGATCCTCCGTCAATAGCCCTGAAGCCGGTAGTGCATTTGCATTGACCTTTCCAGGGATGACTGATTCCAGCGGGAATGGGAGGGGGGCCTCCGCCATTGTTGCTGATAGCCCCTGGCTGGGGCAGAGGCAAGACCGCCAGTAAGAGAGAGCGCACCAATGACTCCCCTGTGCTGGGATGTGCAGGACGGCCTACTGGGGTTATAGGGTGACACCCCCATGTCTCAGTCCCCACTCCCCCCATTCTGGGTTTCCTCCACCTGGAGTCCTCTAGTGTTCCAGGAGCCCTCCACTCAAGCCACCTCCATGTTTTTTGCTGGGCTGTTTTCCCACTCAGACTTTCCTTTTTCCCTTGCTCTGCCGGTCCTCCTTCAGAGCCTTCCACCGGTCCCTCTTCCTACCAGGTGGCTTTTCTGACCACCCCCAGGTGTCGCAGACCCTTATTTGGGGACTATAGTTAATGCTGTCTTGTTTCATTGTTTAAATGGCACACGAGCTGCTGCATTAATGTGTCATCAAACCCCTTGAAATTCAGTTGAAGAACTGGCATGGCCTCTGCGAGGAGCTGGGAAGCCTGTGAGGGACAGAGGGGCTGTGACAGGTTAGAGGTCATGTCTGATGTGGCATTTCTGATGCCAGCAGCCGTGGGTGTGAATGTTGGTGCAACTCTTTAGGAAAACAGTCTATCCATAAGAAATTTCTTTAACTCAAATTTCTATTTTCGATACTAAGGACACCATTTGAAATGCAGAGAGATATGTCAAAGAACATTCAATGCATGTTATTACAGGAAAAATAGGAAGGGAGAAACCAGGGCACTTGGACATGACAGAAGAGCCAATTCTGAGTGACAAATGTTACTTCTGATTGTGGGTATGTTTAAGTAAATTTTAGAAATGGGATGTTAGAATAGCAATCATATACGAAAGAGGCATAGGAAAAGACTAGAAAAATGTACTGTCTTCAGTATAGGAATTTAGGGGATTTTTAATTTTTCTACTTTTCTGTATTTTTCCAAGTTTATTCATTAAGTGTGTGTGTTGCTTTTATAATTGAGACAAAAGTTTGTGGCATATATAGACATGCACAGAACCCAGTATTTGGACACCCTTGCTTGGGGAGAAGCTATGGCCCATCATCTGCTCCCACCTCCTCCTTTCAGCTGTCCAAGCCCGGGGGACCCCCGGAGCTGCCCCAGTGGAATCAGTCCTTCCTCTTCCAAGGCCGAGACGGAGCCACCAGCTTCTCAGAAGACACCGCCTTGGTGCTGGAGTACTACACCTCGACTTCAAGTAAGGGCACGCATGTGACAGGGTTTTCAGACCATCCTGCCTCTGCATCTGCAGCGGTGGTCCCGGGGCCACCTCCCAGTGCACACAGACAGGCAGCGGAGTGCCAGGCTGCCTTCCTTGTCTAAATTGCAGCTCTGGAGTACAGGCCCTCTTCTCATTCTGGGTCCAAGTGGTTTTATTGCATCACCACTCCTCCCCATGCACTATCAGTGAGGTGGGGGAGATGGGGCTCTCAGGACTCACATCCTGGGGAGTGGAGAGGAGACAGATTTCGAGAATAGCCGATCCACCATCTTCAGTCCACACTATAAGACGAAGCCCCCAGAAATAGGGGCAAGAGAGATACATATCAATACCCAGACTCAGGAATATGCTTAGAGCTGGCCTTGAACTCAGTAAGCCCTGAAGAGCAGAGAAGGAGGAGGATATTTGTGGGCAAATGCCAGGAGGTGGGTGGTGAGGGATGGGAGGGTTGGGTACTAAAGGATGGGCCCCTTGTGGGGCTGGGAGCTGAAAAGCCTCAGGGGGGACTTTGTTGGGAGCCTCAGCTTGTCCTCCCCCTGACCACAGTGAAGGGCGGTGAGTCATGGAACTTCGGAAAGCCCTTGGGAGTCTCTGTGTTGCCATTGAAGAGCCATTTGTATTCCAAGATGCTGAGAGGAAAAGGCCTGAATGGGTTTCGAATAGAGAGACTCCCCATCACCGTGAGTTTGCCACCTGGCAAGTCCACCCTGACCCACCCTGCCCCGCCTTGCTCTTCCATGCCTCACCATCACAGGCGAGTCTGGCTTCTCCAGCAGCTTCCAGCAGGGCCCCCCACCCTTGAAGCTGATCGCTGTCAAGTGTGAGGACCATCCACAAACACAGGAAGTCCATCTTGCCCTTGGGCTTGTGATGAAATTGCCCCAGAGCAACTTGGGATAGCAACAAGAGCTCAGGCCTCTATCCAGCGAGACCTGAGTTCAAATCCTGACTTACCCTAGTCCTCATGGTAGAAGCTAGGCCAAGTTATTTGACCTCTCTAAATCTCAGAGTGCCCAACTCTAAAATGGGAGCATGTTTGTATACAGTCTCTCTGTTTAATAAGAATTGAGAACTCAAACTCAAGAGCCAGACTAACTAGGTTCAAATTCTGGTCCTACCACTTACCAGCTTTCATGACTGTGGGAAAATTACTTAAAGTCTCAGCATCTCAGTTTCCTTGTCTGTAAAATGGGTTCATAGTAATAATATTTTTTTTTCATAGGTTTGCTGTGAGATTTTGGGGGAAATGCCCATAAAGCACTTAGAACAGAATAAGTTCTCAATAAGAATTAACACATTATTATCATCATTGTCGACTTCTATCCCATCTTTTTCACTAAAATACTTCTGGTCATAAGAGACCTTCCTTACTCACCAGGAGGCAAGTCTGAAGGTGCCAGTCAGGTCTCTAGTGTGGGGAAGGGTGTACAGAGCGGTGTGGTTGAGGAAGGAAGGAGGCTTGGCCTCAGCAGGCACCTTCCTGAGTAATCAGAAGAGTGGGCTCAGAGAGGCAGAGCTGCCCTGGACATCATGGTCTGACTGCTCCCTTCTCTCTAGGACACCAAGCTGAAAACCCTGAATGGCGAGGCCCCCACGGTAGATCTCTCCTTTCAGCTGCTTTCCTCTGAGGTAAGGCTGAAGGCCAGGGGAAGTTGGGGGGGCTGGAAGCACTGTGCCTCCTCCAGGAGCCCCTCGGTGCGTTCCAGCCTCCTTCGCAATTGCTGGCCTTGTTCAGGGCTGGCTCAGGGTTCAGTGGGGAGGGAACTGTTGGTTTAGATGGAAACGTCTGGGGGTGACTTGAGGCTACAGAGAACCAGAGAGAAGGCTTAGTTAGAAAGAGGAGAGTTGGAGGAGAAAGTCTGGGAGTTAGCCTCTAAGCTGGTCTAAGCCAAGCTGGTTCCATAGGGTGACTAGAACATGAGCTTCTGTAGCTTATAACAAACTCAGCAGTTTAAAAAACACCCACAGATGAGTTCAGACTCTGCAGTAGGCAGACCTACACGACATGGCTGAGAACTGAATGCTGGCAGGTCGAGCTCCTTTCTGGAGGCTATGGGAAGACTGAGCTCCTAGACTCATTTGGGTTGTCATCAGAACCCAGTTCCTGACCCAGTTGTAGGACTGAGGTCCGATTTCCTTGCCGGCTGTCAGCCAGGGGCCTCTCTCAACTCCTAGAGGCTGCCCACGTTCTTTCTCACAATGGCCTCCTCCATCTTCAAACCAGCAGGATGGAGGGTTCTCTCTTTTCCACATCCAGTGTGGCTGGGGATTAAGAAAATGAAATAGAGATAGAAGGGAAAAGCTGGGGCAGGGTGGGATCATTGTCCTCTGACATGGACAGAGGCAGGAACAGTGATCCAGAGCCAAAACAGCATGTTTATTTTATATAACAAATACCAGGAAGTTTTACTAAAAGTAAAGACAAAGGAGATTATTCCCATTCTTGGGTGGGCCCCAGTCCTATCTATTCCTGGTGCTTGGCTGGATTTAGATAATACAGCCCACTCCAGCACCTGGGCAGAAATGAAGATCAAGCTGAGAACACTGCTGCCTTTTGGCAAAGCGTGTTTCCAAAATGTGGCTTTGCCAACACCACTGTATTCAGTTGACAATAATTAAAGAAATGCCCATGTGCCTTCCCAGGCGCTCTCTACACAGCAGCATGCTAATTCCCTCTCAAACTTTCAAACTCTGGATTCCTCTTCTGTCAGCATATACAGAAAATGTTCTGCTTTTTGAAGGGTCATGGGAAAGGTTGTGCCCACTCTGATAACATTCCCATCTTATGGTGCATGGTGCCATTAAACATAAGCACAAGAGTGACAGCTCAGCATGCTCAGGTTCTGGGAGTTAGGGTATGGACTCTTGAGGGCCCATTGTAGGAATGCTGCCTACCACAGCTGGGTTGGTCCAAGTAGAAAAATACCAGGAGCTGAGCCCTGCCTGACGGATGAGATTCTCTCTAGCCAATCATACCTGGGCTCTGAGTCCAGATTGAATCCATCATTTGGCCCCAGTGCACCCTGCAGTCACCTGCTGTAATTTGTCCACTGTCCCTTCTAGGGTTTATCCAGAAACATATCAGCCTGCATACACAAGGCCTCTCGTGAGTGTCTGAGACCTCCCATCAGCACTCCCTGCTGTGCAACGTTCTACTTTGCCTTCTAGAGCATCCTCTAATTCCTATGAGAGAGTTTGTTAGGTAGCTGACATACCCCCTCCCAAACCAGGAGCCAGAGGCACTGAGAGGGGAGAACACAGAGGCAGTGAAAGACACCAAGAAAGGGGAAAGACAGTCCTTGGAGAAAAATGTCACAGATTACCCAAATTAGAGCTCAGTGCTCCAGCCCTTCTTCTCAGGGTCTAGGAGAGGCCACTGCCAGCCCTTTCCTCACCTCCCCCTACCTCCCACCCTTTCACTGGGACAAGTGTGCTCTGAGGACCCAAAGGAGCATCAAGCCATCAAGGCACTGGGGGATCCAAGCAGGCAACAGGCAGGTGTGCAGGACATTTTCCCAGCTGCCCAGGGGCTGGGCACAAAGATCTTGGTGATGAATTATTCACCGGAGCTGTGCTAAGTGCAGAATTAATCCCTTTCCTTCCAGCTGGCGACCTCACTAAATTATCCCTCCAAGTCATGCGGGAAAACGCTGTGAATTCATTGAGCTGCTGAGTGTTTTGATCTGGGCCTTGTGATTTTAGCTTTCCCTTCCCCCGCTCCCCCTCCCCCTGAAGGTGGGTAAAAACCTTTCAGTAATGGATTTCTGAGAAAAAAGGAAAAGAAAGAGGGTGGAGATCCGGTGTGTACCAGGAAAATAATACCAGAGGAAATTAAGATTCTACAGCCTAGAATTCACTCACGCAGTTCTACACATATTCATTTACACAATAGCATTCAAATAACCACACAGTCATTTATGTGCACAAGTGCACACGCACACCTTTGCCAGGGTGCACACATTTAACACATGTGTGCATGCTCATACACACATGCAAACTGACCCACAAATATTTTCACACATAGGACTGCAGGCCTTCATCTCTGGAGCCCCACGTCCATGTGGCTTACAATGCTGTCTTAAGTGAGGCTCCTTGCTCATGGTCAGATGTGCTGTAGAGAGGAAATAACTCAGGAAAAATAAACATGCATGCCTTCCTGCTTGAGGACATAGCCTGTTTTCCTGGAGCCTCCACAGGAAAGCACAGACCATCCTGGCTAATTGATATTTTGGTGAACACAGTCTCCCCCCACCCACTGCTCCCATTCTTAAAGCTCTAGGAACAAGAGCGCTGTGGTCTATTCCAAATTAGGCGCAGAGGAATCTCAACAGCCCACCCTGGACAGGAATCTCCTTGACAACATCTACCATGGGTGATCAGCCAGTCTCTCCTCTTGCTCTGCCTTGGCCAGGAGCTCATTACCTCTAGAAGCAACCCACGCCATAACTCAGTAGCTACAACTGATAGAAACACTCAACCCCCAGTGAGCCCACCCTCCCTCCAAGGGCCCTCTCTCTGCCCCAGGCTACTGACTCTGTCCTCGGGCTGCAGTGCAATGCCAGCAAGCCTCGTGCACCCGGTTGGAGAGACACTGGGACGTGGTCAGCCATCCAGCATGCTGGTGGGCAGACTAGCCAACAAAGCCAGCCATTTCAGTGAATGGCAAGAACGGGTGGTCTCCTGGTTTGGGATATTGTACCTGAAGCTGGTTGTGTTGGTAATTGATTAAGATTTTCCCTCTAGTGGGGCTTCTCTATGGGACTGTTGTAGTGTAACCTCCATTTTACAAAGAGTGCCTCAAAAAGTGGAATTATGGAGTCATTTCTTAAAAGCCAGCAGCATACAAGGGGCTAAACTTCCAAATCTTGAAGCCCTGAACAGCTTGCCACGTCTGGCTTATATTGGCAGAATATCACAAAAGTATCGATTATATCTTTGGGTCTGGAATAAGGAACTTGTTTCATGATTTTACAGAAGTGAAACTGAGCAAGTTAGTTATCTAAATTATCTTCGAATCACTGAATCAACAGAAACACATTATCTGGGACCACCGGGGCAATTTAGAATAATTGTGCTGTCCAGATTCTGGGATCACTAAGTCAACAGGAATGCACTATCTGTAGCTACTGAGGCAATTAAGGATAATTGATCTGTCATAGTTCCCAGAAAAATGTACTTCAGTAACCAATGAGATCACAATCACCATCATCAATGGAGTATTAGGATAGCATACATAAGTTCAGAAAATCAAAATAACTTTCTATTGTTTTTTCAAACAAAGAAGTACAGAACCCAAACAGCAGTTTCTACTACCATACTTCAGGACCTGCTGCTTTGAGTGATCTGATTCAAGCCAGAGCTGTGTATATACATGAGTAGGTATATAGCTACGCTTAGATACAAAGAAATCTCCCCTTATTGCACATTCTAGGGGGGTTGGCCTTGGAGGCCCACTGTGCTCTAAGAACCCCTGAGTCTGTGGCTACTGCACATATATATACATGAATAAGCCTTTGGTCTTCTTCCCTCCTTCTCTGATGCTGGCCTCTTCTCTTTGAAGAGTGTGATCTGCTCCGCTGAGAGTCTATGCTTCCCCAGGCTAAGCAGCCTCTTCTTTTAACGAATTGGCTTCAAATTTCCACAGTATCCTGGGTGCCCTCCAGTTCACAGACATCCTCTTTTAAGTGAGGCCCACCCTGACCAGGTTTCTAGGCCCAGCTATGTGCACTGGGCCATGTGCACTGGAGCCTGGATGCACATATTAGGCGCTCCTTGGGGAGGGGCGGGTCTTAGGGCTGGGGCTTGGGATCCAGAGTCTTGTCCAGGCCGGGTGCCAGGGCACAAAGCAGAGGTAGCTCACGGCCCTGAGAGATGCTGGCAGAACTTGAAACCCACAGGCTTCCATGGATTTTGGCACAGGGAGGATACATTTGAGGAAAGGAGGAATCTGCTGCCACCCCTTGGAGGAGGGGGTGGCTCCCAATCAGTCTGCCCTCCCCTTCCCTAATCCCCTCACAGAAAGGGGCAGGTGGGGCTGCTCTGAAATGATACCATGCTGCTCTGGTGTTTTAATTCAAACTACTGATTACAACACTATCTCTGGAGACCTGCCCAAAGTGGAGGCATAGGCAGGACATAGGCTCCTGGCTTTGATTGGTGAATTTTCACAAATTTAGTTGAAAAGCACACATGACAGCCATAGGCTGGTTCTCTGAGAAGCCCCGACACAAGCTTGCCTCCATTTCCTCACAAGCATGGCTGCCTGGAAGGCCCAGTGTCCAGGATAGCATAGCAGCCTCCTTGGCTGGTCTGTCCTCATCCCAAGACACCAGCTCTGAAAATACTACCATAAGGACAATGGTAGATCCAGAGAAAGAGACCCTTCCCCTCCCACAACCTCACAACATCCCTGCCTATCTTTCCTTCTGCCCCAGACTGCTACAACCCCTTCAGGCCAAATGGCAGAAAGCAGGAACAGGCCTATCTCTCCCCAAGCTCACAGGTACTTTCTTCCACCTGCTCAGATTCTAGGCCCAAGTCAACTCAAAAGAAGGTGCGAATGGTGGGTAAGAGGCAAGAGCCTGTGGTTTTCCAGGGTTCACTATGCCCGAACCTATCCCAGTTGCTCC